TTTTTATATCATAATATTTATATAAAATATAAATATTATGATATAAAAAGATAAACTTATGATATGTTTTTACATTTATATATATTATTTATATTTTATGTTTTTATATCATTACATTAAGCATTAAGAGAAAAAACGTCCTCAAAACGAGAGATTTATAACTGTACCAAACCTCTTGAAATGATTAATGCGCGGGAAGTATTATGTTTCTCTCACGTCATTTGAAATATATTGATTGTTGTCAAATTTATAGCAAACGCGTAAAATAAAACCTTATTTTAATATGGAACAATTTGAGAATACACGAAAGCAATACATTTTTATCAAATTATTTAATTGCCACATGACAAAAAATATAGTAAAAGTTTGTTATATAATATAATATATGTATATAGAAAGTCTCAGTTACAAGCAATTTTTTCTATCAATATAAAATTCCGATAAGATTCACATATATCTATTAATTTCAGATATATCTGATCAAAGTACGTTTGAAGTAAATTGAGTTTTAGTTATTAATTTTTTACTTATTGAGTGATATCTGTATATTAAAATTTATGCGATTGCAACTACTGCTTTCTTGAAAAAAACCAAATATTACAAATTTTAAGACAAGTTATATTTAACGATGGTTATATTTAAATACTTGTTTACAGCACTGGAGTTGTCTACATCTTGATCATTTAAAGCAAAGGTATGTGATAAATATGGATAATCAATTCAGATTAAAAAAAAATTAATCATCGAAACGATGATTGACATCTGAATGATATTTATATGAGGAAAAATAATATGATTAAACATATATAAAACATATATATATAATTATATCATTGAATGAATATACATTACTCAACAAAATTAAAGGATTATTTGTTTCATCCTAAAATTTCAAAATAGAATAACTTCGTAAAAAATCATTGTATTGAAATAAAGATTATGCGTTTCGCGAGTTATTTTCTCCGTGTTCAGATGCATTCTTGGAATGCCAGCGTTTCGTGAACCTTGCAGTCCACTACTAGTGAAAAGGCTAGCATTCCAAGAACTCTTTATATAGAACTGGACTCTTTATATAGAAAGCCCCCGTGGAAGCCTCAAGAATATCATTGTATCGAAATGTTTAAAAATGTATTTTACAGCTTGAAATTTCTACTTTTCAAATCGGTACTTCAAAAATCGGTCTTACTGATATTTTGTTTTGAAGTTACACAAACATATAAATGAAGACACATCATATCACAAAATTTTTTACGAAATTTGCGAAGTTCTACGGGGCGAATTAAAAATTGTACACAAATGCGGTTTATATTATTCGAAAGAGTGAATCTTTATCTTTAATTTGCTTTTTTGAAATTTTGTACGATTTTTTTTTTCGAATTTATTCAATGTTGAAGCAAAAACGATTCTTTTTACAATATATATACATATATCGACAATTAACCTTTTCGATTTTTACACATATCAATATAATTAACCTTTAATATCTTAAGATTATTTCTCGAAAATTCTTATATTTTTTATAATCATTTCTTTTTAAATGCTATTAATAATAAATCCATCTATTAATATTTATTATCATATAACATCAAGTTTTGTAGAAGCAACAAACAATTTTTCCACTTTTTACTTCTACATGATCAGTGCTCATAAAATCAGTGCTCATAAAATTTAATTTAACTTTTTATTTGCTGTTTTATACGCTTTCTTTGCTTACTGTATTAGATGGGATTTTATATGGAATTTATTTTCCATTATGCATCTTAAAGTATTTGTGAAGCAGATGTATAAGTTAATTGAATAAATCTGGAATTTATTTTGAATTTAATTCGACGTCTTAACATAAATTATCTTTCTGATATAAAAAGTTGTCCTTTAAAGGACAAAACTTTTTACTTAAATGTCATATTAATTAATTTTAAAGGTTACTCACCGCCGTAAGAATGACTAACGTGATCTTTCAAGGCCTCTGGATAATCACTGGGGGTTGTAGCTTCGACGTCAAAAGTGCCATAAGTAATATTATGCTCTTTCTTGATGAATTCAACCATTGACTTCATCATAAGCTGACACGTATGTCTACCAGCGACTTGATTTTGTCCATTCGTTGCATAAATAAGATGTACTTTATGCCACTCGTAGCTAATTCACAGAAAAGAAAGATAAAAGAAAATTTCACATTATTTCATCATATTCTTTAATTTTTTTATCCGCGTTTCATCAAATATTCGTATTCATCATATAATTGTCAAAACAATCTCTCATGAAGAATTAAGAAATACGCAAAAATTAAATTTTTTGTATCAATTTAATCGATAAATTGTTATATAAATTTTGAGCTGTACATACTGTTCCATTATGGCCACGAAAAATTTAGCGATATCCCTGAAAGCCAAACTTCCGATTCTTGTGGTCATAAAATATTCGTCTTTACAGTCAACTTTTTTTTCCGTAAAGTCAAAAGTAAAGCCTCCTGTGGTGATTAATGGTGCTCCAAGAAATTTCACCACTCTACCGACGACCGCTGAAAGAAAACTCTTAACTCTAATATCACATTGAAATAGCGTATAATATAAAAGACTAACTTGAAGGAAATATGCCCATATATTCATATTTTAAAAATAAAAAAGAAGTAGTAAAGAGAGAATACATAACATAAAACATAAAAATGATAATTTGTTTCAATTTTCCTAAATTTTTTTTTCGCTCTTGTAATGCATGCGATTGCAATTATAAATCATTTTGAAATATACATTTTTATGGAAAAGATTATGGAAATTTTAATATAACATATTACAATAAATCTTATATATAATGGAACAGTTTTCTCAGTTTAACGGATGTAATTTATATGTAGATTAAAACATGAGCAACATCAAGATGGGTTTTAGAATAGAATTTTCAGATTGTAGCAAATATAATTTTAAAGAAGATACAGGAAAAATTCAAAATAAAAGGATTTAAAATGACGTACCGACGCAATAATCGCATGCTGGCCCGAGAAACAAGTGTACACAATGCGAGTAGCTGTCGATCGCGCCGATTTGCGCGTACATTGCATCGCAATGATCATCTTGCGGCAAGAATTTCAGATCAAGCCAGTGCGGTAGCAGATTTCGCGATCTCGCTTCGTACACCGCTAAATCTGCAAAAGAAAAAGATAATACACTCTCAATGTTCAGGTTTACACAAGCTGAACTTTCGGGATATAAAATTGAACGTGCGCGTAAAACTTGATTTCATTCAGCTTTACATTTGCTGATCTCAGCTTATTTGAAATGCCAAGAGTATAGACTGTGACGTTAATAAAGAGACATTATTAAAAAAATAAAACGTCACTTTGCTACTTGAGTAGTGAATTTGCTCATTTTTATTCCGTTTCAAGAAAACACTGAAAAAAATATACTAAAATTTGCAGCTCCAATAAAGTGGACCACACCTTTAGCATTTTTTTTAGTATACACAATTGATTTCCAGACTAACTCTCTTACCGAGGACTGGGAGAACCTTAGGCAGAGAAATATCATATCTCGGATCCTTCGGCAGAAGAACAGCGACCCTCAGTTCGCAAGAAACAGCACCATCGCGGCTCGTGCTGCACAGTGCGTCGCATTCTGCACAGTGCTCGCAATCGCGACGCAATTGTACCTCGCCGCGGCACGTAACTTTGCCTTCTGTCCGATATATCAGCCATAAGATTATTAGCACAATGATCCTCATACGGGAATCCATGTATACGAATCGAAAGGCGATCTCGGATCAGATCGAGCTCTTCGTCACTCTGAATCGAAAATCGCGAAACATCATCCTGACATCACCGACAATCACAATCACCCGATAAATATCTTTATCATCGCGAGAAATTCTCCACCATGAACAGAATTTCGATTCATAAAATCACTATTTTGTCTAGAATCGCACTGCGATCTTTACAGTTCAAACGCGATACGTTGTACTCTCGAGTTTCGTATGTCTACCGATTTGTCTGACCGTATCGACAGTTGTTTCACTTGTCGCTTCCTTCTGATTTAATAGCGAATATTGATTCACTAAGCGAATTATTCTCTATTTCAAATTAGCATGAATGCATTATCTCGTTGTGTTATGATGTCTCGTACGATTGACTTGATTACAATAAAATTATAAATAATATTAAATGGAGAATTTTAATGAGATTATAATTAGAGAATCTAATTTGTAAAATGATCACTTTTCTTTTCTTTGAAATCAGAATAAACTACGAAATAAAAATAAAGACTTTAGATTAAATTGTAATAAAATAAAAGAAAAGAAGAAACAACCTCACGAATTTTAACTTCAAAAATTAAACTTCATTGAACGAACATCTACTAACTGCTTCTGGTTTGCTTACTTTTCGCAGATTTTATAAACAGCATATTTATGTAACGTCAATTGTAATTTATCAATTATTACCACTCAATATTGCGTTATCTATTATTTTAAGAAACACAAGATCATTGAAGATTACAGTAATTATAATCGAGTCCTAGTGCTTATCAGAGATGTAACGTATTAGTTTAAAAACTATTTAGATTTCATATCGCGGATATTTTTAAAGTGGATATCGTACGCGACCATCGAGCACTACTTCAAGAATTCTATCAACGAAATTATGTGCAATTCACAATCACCGAAGAAAATATTTACGGAACACTGAGTATGCCGAATCTACTAAATTTGACGAAAATCCTTAACGTATTCGCGCATCGTTCCGTATTTCTTTGTCTTTTCTCGAGCTTTCGTCGAGCACAAATAGAATGCAAATGCTCGCTTAATGTCGAGAGAACACAAAATTATATTAATAAAAATAAAAGATTATATTAATACAAGATTATATTAATAGAAAAGCATCACGTGAAAGAGCAGCCGATTCAGATTTTGCAGGTTTATCCGAACACGAGAAAAAGAAAAGAGCAGGAAAGAGAGAGACAGACATCGCGATTCACATCAGGATCGCCGGAAATACACTGACACCTCACGATCACGCGACCGCCTTGTCCCAGTGACAAACGAGCACTTACACACGCGGCTTTATCACGGATATCTCGCGTCGATTGATAATAGTTATCGAAAACTCCGATATGCACACTCACATGGCTATCCCCTCCCAAGTCCTTCAGAGGGTTGCCGCTTCCATTTCATCTCGAGAGATCGAATTTCTGCGAGGGTCTTCTCTCGGCCGCGTCAAACGCAGCATCGTTTAGAGGATTATTTCCGATGGTTAATTTCTATATTGTTCTCTACCATTTTTCCATTCGCTTCTTTTTCGGATATTTCTACGTTTTTTCATTGCGTTTTTGACTGTCCAAATTAAATTATTGTTATTAAATTTATAGCTATTTTCCGTATTAGCTGTATTCTATATTAAGTTTGAAATTTATGAAAATAATTAGTGAAATTGTGTAAACTTTAAAGAAATGAATAAAAATGAATAAAAAGTGTCTAACAAAGAAGAGGATCCTATCTATAGAAATACGTATGTAATATTATTGTATATAGAATAATTATAAGTCGCATATCTTGCACCAGCTCTTAGCTCAAGGAAAGGACACGACGTGATAATAATCGATTGCGATGAAACTCGTTGTAGCGATAGATCTGCTTGTCAAGTGGTACTGGATAAAAGGATATAATGCGCTTCTCAAGCGTTTGTGAGAAAATTGATTAAAAATTATTAAAAATCGTTTAAATATTGGTTTTCAATGATTTTTTACTCAAACACTATCAACTTTACAGAAAAACAGCGAAAGACGAAAATTATTTATTTTCTTCTCATAAAGTTCTGAGAATTTTTTTAGAATGTTTTTAGAATTTTTTAATATCGTATTTTCATACGACAAAAAAAAGTTGATATAAAAAATTCTAAAAAAATTCTTAAAGTTCTATGAGAAGAAAATAAATGATTTTCGTCTCTTGCAGTTTTTCTGTAAAGTTGATAGTATTTGAGAAAAAATAATTAAAAACCAATATTCGGCAATTGCACGGAACTTTTTATCAATTTTCTCACAATGCCTGAGAAGCGCATTATATCTCTTTATCTAGAACCACTTGACGTGCAAACCTATTGCTACAACGAATTTCGTCGCAATCAATTATTATTACGTTGCGTCCTCTCCTTGTAAGAAACTGGTGCAAGATATTGTTGTAATTATTAGGTGTGGGAAAAAGTTCGTGGCGTTTTTCCCGTTAGATGGATTTAAAAAACTAATATTTTATATAATATTACATACGTTTCTATAGATAGGATCCTCTTCAGTACGTAAAATTAAAACCATAAAGTGAACTTTGAAATTTATGATTATGAATGAATATTTATATTAGTAGTTTAAGAAAGTTTGTCTGCATTTTGATCATTTGATATAATTTTACATGAAAAATGTTTTTTTAAAGCGTATAGTAAAAAATAAAATATCCTTTCGCTGTGTCTCTTTAGTTATTACTATAAAGAGAGAGAGAGAGAAAGAAATTAGTTTATAGTCATTTTTAACATAAATAAAATGCCTTTCATTATACTTAAAGGGGATGAAATAAAAAATTTCCTTTGAAGTTTGCGCAATTATTATAATATTTTTTTCTAGTTTTTAATATTTTTTACATATTTAGCAAATAAGAAATATCGTGTAAAAGATCATTTAGAAAAATGTTCATAAACTTCCATTTGATGCAAAACCGACGCATTCTTTTATTTGAATTTGAATTTCATTTTAATTTAAACACCATTTAATTTAAACAAAATGTTAATATCCAAATTTGAACGTGTATCATTGCATGTTGATCGAGAAATAGTTTGAAAACTAGATAATTTTCATTATTTAATTTTAATGTTACTTGATCAACTATGTTTTTATTAATTAATTTATAATACTGCTTTTATATATATATATATATAAAATATAATATTATATTATTTATATTTCTCATACTTAATTCTTCATACTATACGAACGCCAAAGTGCAGATTTGAATCGCCACGCTATCCGTATATGGCAATTGCACGTTCGATTACAGCACTCTTTACAGTGGAGTATCGTTTTCTGGAACTAATCGAGCTATATTATATATTCGACTTCTCCATCTCTCAATGTAATGCAAACACAGTTTGTAGGTAACGCAACATCGATGTTTTTAGGAACATATTGTTAAGTTTGTCAATGGTGTAAATAATTGGTGAAATACGCATGTGTGTTGAGAAAACATCTTGAATAAAATGAAAATTAAAAGAATCAGAAAGCTAAAGCGTAAGAAGAAGTACAATCAGAACGTGAATCGAAAAAGACTGCGAAATAAATTACGGAAACAGCCGGATATTCCATGGTACATTTTCTAACCTAACTCACATACATTTATTACATCGTAAAAGTAGAGTTGTTCGGTATATTTCAAGATTACATTTACATAAAATATTTATGTATTGTTTACGTTAAATTTTGAATCTTTAGTAAATATGCAATATAACGCCTTTGATTTTCCTGTACTTTTATAAATATATTTTGTATTTCCATGCATAGAATATATTCTAAGAAAGAAAATCGGCGCTTTAAAAAGTTCATTTTTTTATAAATTAATTTTCGAAGTTTTTTTTATTATTAAGAAAATGATAATTTATACATTTATAATATATATATTTTAAAGAAGTTAGATGTTAGATTAACTAAGTCCGCAAAAGAATTAAAAACGTAAATTTTTAATTACAAACTATTCTTTAAGTTATATGAGCTACACTTCAAGTTATATGAGAAAAATTAATTTTTTAATTAATTAAAACAGAATTTTTGTTTTGTTCTTAGGAATTTATTGATGTTGAAAAATATAATTCACTAATTATCTTAAAAAATTCTTTAATTCATTCATTAAAATTAAATTTTCTTTAAAAATAAATTCTGCCAAATAATCAATATTAAGTATGCTTCTCTTGTATCATATAATGGTAAATATACAAATGCCTATTCATTTTAATTAAATTTCTTGCACAGTTCATCTTTTCGATTTTTCTCTTCAAGATGATTTTTCTCTTCAAAAGGGAAGAAAGCTGAACATGCAGGAACTTTAGTTAAAAAGTATAGATTTCAATATAAAACAAAAAACGGATCTTGAGCGATGATTTTCCTTCTCAAAATATACTTTACACGTGGAAATATACAAATTTACAAAATTATAAGAAAATAGATATAATTATATAATATTATATAATATTTACTGAATATTTTTCATGTAAATAATATAAGTAAAATGTGTAAATTATTATAAACTAGATAATACAGTTCAGAAAGAAGTAATTATAATTGTTCATCTAATTTTAATACTGATAAATAAAAATATATAAGCGAGATAGAAGTTTTAATTCAGTATGTTGCAACAACAAAGAACATAGACTTTGAGGATCTATACATTGTCTACATTGTATACAGATAAATGTAAATTATTACATTTTATAAACTTTAGTACTTACATACTTTTACATTTAGCATATTGTAAATATTATAATATTTATTGATTATATTTTGACTTTAGCGAGCAAATAAAAAAAGAATGGAAAAACAAGAATTCTATTCGTGACAATTTGAAAGAAATGGGTTTGGCATATGACGCAAACGAGGCAGTGCAAATTCCTAATGTAAAACATGAGATGTTGGAGGATGCCAAGGGAAAAGTTACAGGAAACGAGGATTTGTCAGATCACGAAAACGAAGAAATGAATA